ACCTTTATCCGGCAGGTAAAATGTGACAAGCAGCATACGTTAAGGTGTAAGAAATTCTGAATACACACTGTCTTGACCAAACTTAAATGATTTTGGACCGATCCGGGATTCGAACACGGGACCACATAATCAGTATATGACTACCTCGTTGTTTTAGAGGTTGTGCTCATGATAATTCAATGCTGCAGATAATAATATTAAAAACTATTATATGTTTTAACAATTATAAGCCAGTGTTCGAACACTATCCCATGTGATAGTAGTAAGTGATGATGTTTTTTGTTATAGAATAAGGATAACAATCGAGAACATTACCTACCTGATGGCAAATGGATGCTGCGACATCTATATATATATACCCAATTAAGGATTAAGGATCTAAGATGAAATTCCTCGTTTCCCGTAAAAATGTTATCCGATTATCTACACTCTTTATGCGAAACACAGCAGCATTAAGCTGCAGCTTTTATTTTACGCTGGTATTCTGTGAAAGCGTGGTCCTTCCCTGGTTGAGTGGACCCATTCATGCTAGAACCTTAATATAGCTAAAGTATGGCTCTACCTCTTAAAGTACCCATGGCAGTTTACCTTTCTTCCTTCTACCATGTAAAGTATTCACTTAAACATAATGAACTCGTTAAACTATTTTACGCTGGTTGGTGGGTAATACAGTATCTATTGTAACCCATTCGTGCTGCAGCATGGCTCCACCTACATATAAACGAGGATGGTAAAGCACACTGATTTAGCTCAACAAAACCTTTACTCCTTACTCCCTCTTACTTAGAAGAGAAAGAGAACATGGTTGGAAACTGGTGAGTGTCTGGTTATCCGATGGGCACAAACTGTAACTGCTTCTATAATCTAATATGATAGAAAAACTATCATCTTAAATAAATCAATGTAGTTCGTGCTTGAATAAATAATTTGAAACGTGTCGCACGGAGCTTACAAAATATTTGTACAGCGAAATATTAAACGATTTTATGCAACATCGAGGCAAAACAGTTTTCATAGAGCATTAGCACTTCAGAAATACTACTATTAGGTACATAGATGTTCTCGTAAGATAAGAACACAGTCTGAGTAATTTAATATTCCTTTAAATTTAATCTTTTTTATATAGAATATGGTTGACAAATGACTACACAATCTACCTCATGGAAGGTAGATGCTGTGGGTCACAGACATCTATATCTCTATATCTCCTAGATTAAGAATCAAAATACAGATGCGTTGCCACCCCTGCGGACTGAGATAGAATATGGGTGACAAACGAGCACTCAGACCACTTGATCGTAAGTGAATGCTGTGGCCAATAGAACTCCACATTTACCCTCGATTAGGAATCAAAATGCAGTTGCGTTGTCATCATTTAGGACTAAGATGGAATACCTCGTTTCCAGTAGAAAGGGTCTGCGGTTCTCCACAATCACTATAGGAAACATTAAGCTGCTATTTTACGTTGGTATTCTGCGACAACGCGGTCCATCCCGGTCGAGCCGACCCATTCTTGATACAACTCTAATGTACCTGCCGCATGACTCTATTACGTATATACAGTTTTACTCCATTAATCACGTTGAATATTTCACCTGCTCTGTTGCTAAAATATATTTGAAATAATAAGACATGGATTACTTAGGGTATCTCAATAAAGCCGTTCATGAATTCGCTAACGTAGAACTACGCACATCCCTACTCTACCGCGTCGTGAATTATTGGCACAGTTTAATAAACAGGCATCCACGTACAAGTATTTGCACACGGAATTTACATTCAGTTTTAGGCGTTTTATTAAGCTGGTACACATTGTGAATCATTAAACCACCAAAACATAAATCTAACCCTAAATATATAGTTACATTAAAACTGCTATTTATTTTAAAACAATACAGATATGATTACAAGTAAAAATATTTTTTTTTATATTTTTATTACAATACAGGGGCGTTGTTACCCCTGAGGACTAGTCCAGTAAAAGTGTTTCCGGTTCTCTATACTTAAACCATGGGCGAGCTTTGCTTCTACCGGTATCAAAGTTCGCCCATGGTTTAACGATGAATGCGCGCAAGCTGATAAACGCAAGCATTTAGCGTACCTATCCGGAAAGCTCCGGATATCAACTCCAAGAAGAGAACTTTCAACCAGGCCGCCAAGTCTCGATCGCTTTAAACATATTGGCGCAAAACTCTCTGCCAGATCATCTGGTACTAGAGCTTTTTGGTCTCGTGCCAAAGCGTGCGAGACAAACTTCCGTCGGTCTACACTGCCTCCGCTGGTAAAACCAGATGACACACTGGCGCATACGGCTTAAGTAATTACGGTTAAAGTTTTACACCTTTTTGCCTACCATTCGCGATTGGACAGTGGCAACAACATTCCACCTAAATTACCTCACTGCGGGACCTCGACGTCGGAGGTTCGTACCACAAATAAGGAGGACCAGATGGTATACCAGCTATACGTATAGTTCTAAAGGCTTATGCACCTGAGTAGTCTCTTGTGTTGACACGCTTGTTCCGTCACTCATTTAGGATTGGAATAGTGCCAAAATCCTGAAAGCTGGCCAACGTGTAGCCCGTTCCAAAAAAAAGAAGGTCATGCCGGCCCTGCCAATTATCGGCCAATTTAAATTATCTCCATACTCTGCAAGGTTATAAAGCGTATATTGAACGCCCGCTTAATGTCATACTTAGAACAGAATGACCTCTTGGTGATCGGCAATACGAGTTTCGCCGAAAGCGGTCCACTGGGGACCTTCTAGCGTATCCCACACACGTATTAGGCGAGGCACTCGAGAACAGTGAGGAAGCACTTGCTGCTTTATTTGATGTCTCGAAGACCTTTGACAGAGTTTGACACGCCAGCCTTTTGAATAAACTTCCAGCGTACGACTTATACCCTGATCTGATTGAATGGTTAAAGGACTTTCTGAGTTAACGGTCTCTCCGGGTCGTCGTCAATGGCTGCTCATCCGATCCTGCCGAAGCATCCGAGGTGACTAACGCCGGTGTTACTCAGGGGTCCGTTCTCTCCGCAATTCTCTTCCTTCTTCATATTAATGGTTTGCTTATGCACAGTTGTGGAGAGATACCAACCAAGTCCTCGTGTCAGTCGCGATCAGATCCAGTCCAAAAGAGAGGCTATGGTTGTGCGTGTGAATCTCACACTACGGGAAGCAAAGATTTAAATCGTTAGATGGGCCCTTACCATAGTATGACCACTCCTAATTTTTTTTATTTTATTTATTATTTATTAATGAATTTATAAGACAGTGGTGTTACTTAATTCTAAACTCGCCAAACTTTTACGTTTGATGGCGAGAGGCGCTCTTTTACATGGCAATGAACCACCTTATGTACTCCTAATATTCGACACAATAATACACAATTACATGGATAACACAGTAATATATAAAACCTATGACATTTTGTTGTTATGTTAACTTTATGATCTTATATATATATATACAAAGTGTCCATTCTTGAATGAGTGAGCTCAGTCATTCGCAATCAGTGTTCAGTGCTCATTTGTGCGCGGTGACAGCCAGATGTTGTACATTGAAACTAACGTGCTTATTTCACAAAAAAACTGTCAGAATGCCAACGTGTGCCTTTCGAAGGTGCAATAATAATTATAGAAACACAAATAAAGCCCAAGGTGTAACATTTCACTCGTAAGTATCTATATTTTATTATATATTGAATTTATTTCATTCTGATGTCAGAAAATACTACGAAATAATTACGGGCAAACGGAAACTGTGCGACAGAGAAAGTAGTATAAACAATTTACGTAAGATAATAGTACATAACACTATTGTCTCTGTACTCTTCTAATAACCAATTTAGTTAGATACTCGGATGTACTTGTATCAAGGAAGCGGTTTACAAAGTGATCATCTTTAAATAGACGTAAATAGACGGAAATACCGTGGTAGCGCACACATTATTGCGCGAGCGTCAGCGTCTTGGACACATATAAAAATAATGCAACAGTTTTTCAAGGTGAAGGCGCATCTAACGATTTAAATCTTTAACAGGAAGTCTCCGAATGAGGCGATGCCAATCTTGTGTAATTCAACGCCCTCAAAATACAAGCATGTCTCTTCACTGCATAAAGGAGCCAGCTCACCTTGATTCCTTCTTTCCGAAATGTATCGCTGGAATATACCGACCGCCTCCAGTTGTTGGGGGTTGAGATATACTCAAATATGAACTTCGGGCGGATCATTGAGTCTAAGGCCAAAGCAGATGCAAGGAAGCCAGGAGTCCCTGCAAAGGTGTGGTGACACTTCACGCTGGGACTTCTGCTTATTTTATATAAAGTGCAAGTCCGGTCGTGCACGGAGTATTGCTGCGATATATAGCAAAATGGTACCTAGCAGCTTTGGACTCAATGGAAAGACTTATTGGTGACCGTAATTTGGTTAAAACCAATCTTATCAACCTGAAACACAGGCGCAACGTAGCCAGTAGTTTCGGTTTTTTACAGGATGCATTACGGGGAGTGTGCGCAGGAATTGCATAATTTAATTCCTCCTTCTCCCTTCCACCATCCGAAAACCAGACGTTCGGTTAGTCTACACCCTTTCGTTGTTGACTTCCCACGCATTTGAACCAAATGTTTGCTACGTCTTATAGGTCAATAGTTGCCAGTATCTGTCTTCCCATCCTATTACAGTGAGAGTATCTTCAAGGCTGAGACTGAGAGTGTCTGAATAGGCTTTTATTAAGCCAGTGCGCTTCACCATCTTAGGCTATATAACACTTACAAACAAGTGGGATTGTACTTAAGCGCTAGCTTTGAATAATAAAAAAAACTTTAATATATGACACACAAAAGCATTCAGCTGCTACTGCTACAACCGTAATATATAGCTGCAGCGTGGCCCTACCACGTAAAAAAGAGCATTCAAGATCACTGACTCAACACGACATGTCTTTTTAATCTACCGTAAATTGTTTTATGTTACTCGTAATACAGTTAGATTGAAATCATTGCTTATTTTTCTTTGTACCAAAGAACTTGAACCAACTCTTGTTCGTCTAAAATCCACATATACTATTTCATTCAAATCATTTCAGTTAATGTTCATAAAACAACTTAGAGGATTCTTCAATCATCAGGTAAAAGTTATCCATGTAATAAAATTATGACTTGACAGAATATTAAGGAAAAACATTTGAATTATTTTCTTTTAAAACGGTCATTGTTATATAGGTGTATGTTGTATGCTATCTAATAAGCAAGTTTCATCTAAACAAACGAACCTAAAAATCTAAGTAGGGATTGAAAATTCGGCCCTGTTATATATTAAGATTTATAGAAATAGGTTCTGTTACATATTTAAGTAGTGCTTGATGTATTTTAATAATAATAATAACAAGGATGGTGGATTTGACTAGAATACGCAAAGGGCCGCTGCCTGGAGGTCGCCAGGGCGCGTCTGAAGTTGGCGCTGGACGCGACAGAGTATGAACTGCCAGCCGACGAGCGCGAGGTGCTGCACGACCACCCAGCAGGCCCTCGCATCCATCATCCCCACCAGCTGGCTTGGTGTCGGCAGGGTCTTCGCGGGCCCAGCAATCGGCACCCGCCACTGGTGGAGCACGCCGCATGCGTTGGACAACTCAAATGAACAGCAACGCATTGTGGAAATATTTTAGGGCGAAAGGGGGAGAAATTGGAGGTTTTGCGTATCGGGCAAGGATGCATCGACTTTTTGCCGAGCTAGAGCCATCTGTAACCGTCACCGAGCAAAAACTGGCAGACCGAGTTCGGTATATCTTGCGCTCAAATACATTTAGTCTAGGTCGCCTAGGAACTGGAACTGGAGCAAATGAGGAGTACATTTGTTGAGGCGATTTTGTAAACGCGCAATACGCCTCTCGAAAATCGACCGTATTATGACTGTATTATCTTATTATGCCCATAGACCCCGTCATCATAACGCGGGATGACGTAGCTGAGGCGGTCCGTAGGGCTCCGAACTGGAAAAGTCCGGGGCTTGACGGACTGCATCACTACTAGTTGAAGGGGTACGTGATGTGTCACGCTGTGCTCGCCCGACAGTTTCAAGAGGCTCTCAACCAGAAGTCGCTCCCGAGCCTCTTCACTACTGATCACTCATTTGGTTCCTAAGGACCAGGGTACCACAGACCCGAGCAAATACCGCCCCACCACGTGTCTACCGACCATATACACGACACTAACATCAAATTTGAATGCGAGAATCACTCGTCACCTGGAAATAAATCGGGTGATGTCGCGCGCTCCAAATGGATATCGGGGCGGCGGCCGTAGAACCAAGGAACCACTCCTCATTGACGCGGTCATTGGCAAAGTGGTGAAACGCAACCGTCGGAACTTCTCCGCCGCCTGGATAGACTACTGAAAGGCATTTGACTTGGTGCCCCATACATGGCTAAAGAGGGTCCTCGAGATGTACAAGATTGACTGTACAGTTCGAGACTTCCTCGAGCAATGTATGGTGCAGTGGCGTACGATCCTCTGTGATCTAGGCGAGCTGATAACGGCTGCGGGAAGCCGCATAAGGATAAGAAGGGGTATATTCCAGGGCGACTGTCTGAGTCCAATCTGGTTCTGCCTCCCTTTAAACCCTCTCAGTACTTTACTGGAGGGCTCCGGGAGGGGATTTCAGCTTCGGAGAGGAGGTACAAAAGTGACCCACCTTTTTATATAGATAACCTCAAGTTATTCGCCTCCAGTCGCTCCCATCTTGTGAAACATCACTTGTGAATTTAGCAATTCTATAGGAATGGAGCTGGGGACGGATAAGTGTGCGGTCCTCCATGTTGAAAGGGGAAGGGTTGCTAACTCTGAGGGCATAGACTTATCTATGCCCATCAACTTAAGGACCCGGGGCTGAAACATACCGATTCCTGGGTATGTCACAGAACATTGGTATCGATGATGCTGGTTAAACAGTGAAACAGTCAGTTTGCGACGTGTTTTACGCACGCGCTTGACCAAAGTGCTTAAAAGCCTTTTGTCCGGTGTGAACAAGACACACTTATATAACGTTTGGGTCATGCCTGTCCTCATGGTTTTTGGTTACAATCAACAATGATATACACATTTACGTTTGTCCTACATTCATTATACATACACCAAAATTCTACTTTGCTAAAATTTTCATTACGTCTATGAGAATTCCCAAAGAAAAAGAAAGCATCATTAACGAATTGTTAACATGTTAAATCATTGTCTTGAAAGCAACAAAGAATTACTTTATGTGGTAACATATTTCAACATTAAATCTTACGATAACCCTCTCTACGAATATAGTCTGTGGTATACATAGATGGACTCAGACTGAACTTAACGCCCTGGATAGAAAAGTCCGCACTACCATGACGTTCCATAGGGTGCATCATCCAAGATCGTCGGTAATGAGGCTGTACTTGCCACGAAAGCATCGTGGGCGTGGCTTTTTGAGCGCGCTCACCATGCGTAATCGCGAAGTGTGCAGCCTCCGTCATTACTTCCTGGCGAGATTGGATGATCCATTCTATAGGGACGTCATTTTGTAGTGATAAAGGGCTTACCCCTCTATCCTTAGCCAACGAGCAATGGCAGGACCCAGCAGTACAGAGCATTTCCGACCGAGAGACCGTATGGAAGGAGAAGGAGCTCCATGGGAGATACTACAGGGCTCTACATGAGCCCTTCGTAGATTCAGTCGCCTCTCTCCACTGGCAACGTTTTGGTGACCTCTTCGGGGAAACCGAGGTTTTTGTCTGTGCAATACAGGATCAGGTTATTAAGACCAACAACTATCGGAGATATATCCTAAAGGATGGCACCGCCGACATCTGTCGAGCTTGTCGCCATCCCGGTGAATCACTTAGGCATGTCATCTGCGGTTGTTCGGCGCTTTCTAACTCTGAGTACTTGCACAGGCACAACCTAGTAGCCAGGATTCTACACCAGGAGCTCGCTCTGAAATATGGTCTCGTGGATCGGAAACTGCCTTATTATAAGTAATTACCGGAAGCCGTGCTCGAAAATGAAAGCGCCAGGCTCTACTGGGACCGGGCCATCATCACAGACAGGACTATTCTTGCGAATAAACCTGATATTGTGCTGATGGACCGGGCACAGTCAAGGATATTTTTGGTCGACATTACCATTACATATGACGAAAACCTAGTGAAAGCCGAATCAGATACGAAAATAAAATATCTGAACCTGACTCACGAGGTGACTGACATGTGTTGTAGTCTGCCGACTGAAATTATTCCTGTAGTTGCCTCTACGAATGGGCTAATCCCAGTTAGCCTCTCGGGTCATCTGAGGCGACTGGGACTCCGTGACGGACCGCTCCGGGCTCAAATGCGGAAGGCGATGCTCCTCGATACCGCCCGCATCGTCCACCGGTTTCTTTCCCTTTCCCCCTAACCCTCGGCCGTTTGGTCTCCTCTGCCGAGGGCTTCCACCTGGTTGGGCTTTTATTTATTTATGTATTTATTTTACTTTATTGATATTTAAATTTAAATTTTTAATTATATATTTATAGAACCCAACCAGATGAGAAAACTATATAGATATCCCAGATAACAATAAAACTTATAAGTATAAATTAATCGATGCCTGAGCGATAATTTAAAAAAAGTTATATTCGAAATGGCTGGTTAGCTGTGAAATAAAAATTCATGATTTACCTACTTTATTGGAGTGGAGCTTCCATGACGCAAGAAAACGATTCTTTGAAATGTTTCTCCTCGTAACCCGTATGCCAATTTACATATTTTTTTCGGCAATATTTATAGCACAACGCAGTTAAGATTTGTAAACAATAAAAATCTGATTTTGCCTAAATGATATTAAAAAATAACCAAAAGTAAAAAACCAATAATAAAAAAGTAATAAATTGATGGGTTTGATTTTATTTTTAAGAATATTTACTTCTTTTTAGAGCATTTAAATAAAAGCTTGTTTTTTAAAATCTTTAAAATTGATATGGCGTCCATCTCATTTTCCGCCATTTTAATTTTTTCATTGCCACTAGCATTGAGTTATACAAAACTAGAGGAGCAAACCACATCACCGCGCGTCGAAAAAAGTGTAACCACTATTCAACCGCGACGACATAGCTTTGAAATGACTAAACATTTTATATAAACATATATCTGTCTCACTTACACAAGTTGCGAAAACAATACCGTCGCTAAGATTAGATAAAGATAGACACACCAAACATGCAATGGCGGGTTGGTGTGGCTTACTACATGAAATTTAACCTAAAATGCGCAATAAAAAGGAGTTTTTTTAAGATGCAGATAACTGTTTTTATTTTAAAAAAAGTATATTTCCTTATCAGGTGAGTAGAATTTAGCATAACTGATGAAATGAAACATATTTTTTATAAGTATTTTTATTGTACTAATAAATCAAACAATAATAAATTATAATTAATATAAAATACAAAATTTATATAAAAAAAATTATAATCAATTTAAAATTATTAATGTAAAATAGGTAGTAAAATATATTTAATAGATCATTGATGAATAAACTAAAATAAGAATAATTTATTATTTTGTATGAAAGTTAAAACGTAGTTTTTATTATAATTTCCAAAATATTTAAAATTAGAGGTAACAAATTAACTTACTCCATTAATTATATAGTCTTCCGTTAATGTGGGATGATGACAAAGGCGGAAAAGTGGCAACATTTAACCTAAATCGCAATATTCGATAATTTTATTTAATTATTTGAGGTTTTTACGTTTATATGAAAACATAAACTAAAACTTATGTGTGGAAAGTGATTCCGCTTGATTTATTATGTTTTTGTGACCTTGAATCGCATTCTTTCACTACGCATTTACCTATTTTTTTGTCGCGGATCGTTTGGCTCAACTCTGTCGTCGTCACATTGAACACTAAACTGACGAGCTAGGTATATGGCTGTGGTTATATGTGCAGTGGCAACGCTTTGGCGCAGTAATTACTAATCTAGTGTAATATATAAATCAATAGCGTAGATGCAGGGTGTAGGACGAATCCAGTTTAGACATGAATCTGCTAAGTCTTACCATTTGACCGGGCAGTAGTACACCAACTCCTCGAAGAGCTGAACACGGATGTTATTTTATTCGTATTATTTTCAGCGAATAAATAATTCATCTTGTTATCATCATTTGAATCCGTATGTTCGTTTTATTTCCATATCGTGGTTAAAACTTAGTCCACCATCTTTGGGACTACTATTATTATTATTATTGTTGTGGGGGTATCAATATAATTTTCTCATCTGGTTGGGTTCTATAAATATATAATTATAAATGGAAATGAAAAGATAAATGTACATAAACATCAATAATATAAAATAAGTACAAAAATACATACATAAATAAAAGCCCAACCAGATGGAGGCCCTCGGCAGGGGAGACCAAACGGCCGAGGGTTAGGGGGAAAGGGAAAGAAACCGGCGGACGATGCGGGCGGTATCGAGGAGCACCGCCTTCTGCATTTGAGCCTGGAGCGGTCCGCCACGTAGTCCCAGCCGCCGCAGATGACCCGAGAGGCTGACTGGGATTAGCCCGTTTGCAGAGACGACTACAGGAATAATTTCGGTCAGCAGACCACCCCACATGTCGGTCACCTCGCGAGCCAGGTCCAGATATTTTGTTTGCTTATCTGTTTCGGCTTTCACGAGGTTCTCGTCACACGGAATGGTAATGTCGACCAAAAATATCCTTGACTGTGCCCGGTCCATCAGAACAATATCAGGCTTATTCGCAAGAATAGTCCTGTCTGTGATGATGGCCCGGTCCCAATAGAGCCTGGCGCGATCATTTTCGAGCACGGCTTCCGGCAAGTACTTGTAATACGGCAATTTCCGATCCACGAAACCGTATTTCAGAGCGAGCTCCTGGTGTAGAATTCTGGCTACTAGGTTGTGCCTGTGCAAGTACTCAGAGTTAGAAAGCGCCGAACAACCGGAGATGACATGCCTAAGTGACTCACCGGGATGGCGACAAGCTCGACAGATGTCGATGGTGCCATCCTTTAGGATGTATCTCCGATAGTTGTTGGTCTTAATAACCTGATCCTGTATTGCACAGACAAAACCCTCGTTTTCCCCGAAGAGGTCACCAAAGCGTAGCCAGTGGAGGGAGGTTACTGTGTCTACGAAAGGCCCATGTAGAGACTTGTAGAACCTCCCGTGGAGCTCCTTCTCCTTCCATACGGTCTCCCGGTCGGAAACTGTCTGCACTGCCGGGTCTTGCCATTGCTCGTTGGCTAAGGATAGAGGGGTAAGTCCTTTATCACAAGAAATGACGTACTTATAGAATGGATCTTCCGATCTCGCCAGGAAGTAACTACGGAGGCTGCACACCTCGCGATTATGCATGGTGAGCGCGCTCAAGAAGCCACGCCCACCATGCTTTCGCGGCAAGTACAGCCTCATTACCGACGAACTCGGATGATGCATCCTGTGGGACGTCATGGTAGTGCGGACTTTTCTATCCAGTGCGTTAAGTTCAGTCTGAGTCCATCTGAGTATGCCAAAGGTGTACATGAGGACAGGCATGACCCAGCCGTTATATGCTTGTGTCTTATTCACACCGGACAAAAGGCTGTTAAGCACTTTGGTCAAGCGTGCATAAAACACGTCGCAAACTGACTGTTTCATATCAGCCTCATCGATACTGATGTTCTGTGACATACCCAGGTATCGGTATGTTTCAGCCTCGGAAAGGGTCCTTAAGTTGACGGGCATAGATAAGTCTATGCCCTCAGAGTTAGCAACCCTACCCCTCTCAACATGGAGTACCGCACACTTATTCGTCCCCAGCTCCATTCCAATGGAATTGCTAAATTCACAAGTGATGTTTAGCAATTCAAGGGCCCTAACCTTTGCGATACGTTCTTCAATTCTTGTTCTCCAGGCTGGGATAGCAGTACTTTGTCCAGTAGTGCGTCCAGCCGTGGAAAGTTTGGCGCCTATAATACGGCAGACTGTCAGTGCGGCGCAAAAGAGAATTGAGTCCGTCTCGCAAAGGTCCCGGCTGGCTTCCAAATAGGTCACCAGCATTGGGTTCAGAGCCCTCACGACAGCCCGATTCCGCTTGCTTAGGGCTATGCGGGGAAGTCGCGGTCGATTTTCGAGAGGCGTACTGCGCGTTTCCATAATCGCCTCTTCCAATGTACTCCTCATTTGCTCTATTTCTAATTCCTGGGTGAATGTTCCATCATCATTTGAATCAGCAACCACTGGAGTATTCACGGCGGCATCCACATGTGCGGGTTGTTCTGCAACTTGTGGCACCGCACCCTCAGTCGTAGCGTTTTCATTTGATGAGGGAACAGCCTCACGTCGTAGCCGTTCGAGTTCGGCGCCATCAAATATATTTGAGCGTAAGATATACCGAACTCGGTCTGCCAGGTTTTGCTCGGTGACAGTAATAGATGGCTCCAGCTCAGTAAAAAGACGATGCATCCTAGCCCGATACGCGAAACCTCCAATTTCTCCCCCTTTCGCCCTAAAATACGCCCGCAATGCGTTTGTATTCATATTGATGGTCCATCGCATGCGGCGTACTTCACCAGTGGCGGGTGCCGATTGCTGGGTCTGCGAAGACCCTGCCGACACCAAGCAAGCTGGTGGGGATGATGGATGCGAGGGGCTGCTGGGTGGTCGTGCAGCACCTCGCGCTCGGCTGGCGGTTCGCATGCTGTCGCGTCCAGCGCCAGCTCCAGATGCGCCCTGGCGACCTCCAGGCAGCGGCCCTTTGCACAATCTTCTTTGTTCCATCATCCATACAGGGCGTCATTTAACGTGAGACGCCCAGACCCGGCGCCGTTTCATGGTGAGGCCATATGCACAAGCGGGCCCTTGCACCATAAATTTTTGCCAAGGCACGGCGCTCACACCTCTTGGCAAGGTGCTGACTGACTGCGCGGACGTAGCGGTTTTGTCACATAACCGTCACGTCAGCGGGCGATGGGGTCGTCACTTCACTACGCCTTTTTATTATTATTATTATTATTTATTATTATTTTTGGGGTATCTGTATAGTTTTCTCATCTGGTAGGTTTCTATAAATATATAATTATAAATTAAAATGAAAAGATAAATATACATAAATATCAATAAAATAAAATAAATACACAAATAAATAAAGATCCAACCAGATGGAAGCCCTCAGCAGGGGAGACCAAACGGCCGAGCTCCTGGTGTAGAATTCTGGCTACTAGGCTATGCCTGTGCAAGTACTCAGAGTTAGAAAGCGCCGAACAACCGGAGATGACATGTCTAAGTGACTCACCGGGATGGCGACAAGCTCGACAGATGTCGACGGTGCCATCCTTTAGGATGTATCTCCGATAGTTGTTGGTCTAAGTAACCTGATCCTGTATTGCACAGACAAAACCCTCGGTTTCCCCGAAGAGGTCACCGAAACGTAGCCAGTTGAGGGAGGCGACTGTATCTACGAGGGGCTCATGTAGAGCCCTGTAGTACCTCCCGTGGAGCTCCTTCTCCTTCCATACGGTCTCCCGGTCGGAAATGCTAAGCACTGCTGGGTCCTGCCATTGCTCGTTGGCCAAGGATAGAGGGGTAAGCCCTTTATCACTAGAAATGACGTCATTATAGAATGGATCATCCGATCTCGCCAGGAAGTAATGACGGAGGCTGCACACTTCACGATCATGCATAGTGAGCGCGCTTAGAAAGCCACGCCCACCATGCTTTCGCGGCAAGTACAGCCTCATTACCGACGATCTCGGATGATGCATCCTATGGGACGTCATGGTAGTGCGGACTTTTCTATCCAGGGCGTTAAGTTCAGTCTGAGTCCACCTGAGTATGCCAAAGGTATACATAAGGACAGGCATGACCCAACCGTTATATGTGTGTGTCTTATTCACACCGGACAAAAGGCTATTAAGCACTTTGGTCAAGCGTGCATAAAACACGTCGCAAACTGACTGTTTCACACCAGCCTCATCGATACCGATGTTCTGTGACATACCCAGGTATCGGTATGTTTCAGCCTCGGAAGGGGTCCTTAAGTTGACGGGCATAGATAAATCTATGCCCTCAGAGTTAGCAACCCTTCCCCTCTCAACATCGAGGACCGCACACTTATCCGTCCCCAGCTCCATTCCAATGGAACTGCTAAACTCACAAGTGATTTTTAGCAATTCCACAAGATGGGAGCGACCGGAGGCGAATAACTTAAGGTCATCCATATAGAAAAGGTGGGTCACTTTTGTCCCTCTTTCCGTGGCTGAAATCCTCTCCCGGATCCCTCCAGTAAGGTACTGAGAGGGTTCAGGGAGAGGCAGAACCAGATTGGACTCAGACAATCGCCCTGGAAGATACCCCTTCTTATCCTTATGCGGCTTTCCGCAGCCGTCATCCGCTCGCCTAGATGACAGAGGATCGTACTCCACTGCCCCATACACTGCTCGAGGAAGTCTCGAACTGCACAGTCAATCTTGTACAGCTCGAGGACCCTCTTCAGCTATGTATGGGGCATCGAGTCAAATGCCTTTCTGTAATCTATCCAGGCGGCGGAGAAGTTCTGACGGTTGCGTTTCACCACTTTGCCAATGACCGCGTCAATGAGGAGTGGTTCCTTGGTTCCACGTACAGGTATAATTTCGGTCGGCAGACCACCCCACATGTCGGTCACCTCGTGAGCCAGGTCCAGATATTTTGTTTGCTTGTCTGTTTCGGCTTTCACGAGGTTCTCGTCATACGGAATGGTAATGTCGACCAAAAATATCCTTGACTGTGCCCGGTCCATCAGCACAATATCAGGCTTATTCGCAAGAATAGTCCTGTCTGTGATGATGGCCCGGTCCCAATAGAGCCTGGCGCGATCATTTTCGAGCACGGCTTCCGGCAAGTACTTGTAATACGGCAATTTCCGATCCACGAGACCGTATTTCAGAGCGAGCTCCTGGTGTAGAATTCTGGCTACTAGGTTGTGCCTGTGCAAGTACTCAGAGTTAGAAAGCGCCGAACAACCGGAGATAACATGCCTAAGTGACTCACCGGGATGGCGACAAGCTCGACAGATGTCGACGGTGCCATCCTTTAGGATGTATCTCCGATAGTTGTTGGTCTTAATAACCTGATCCTGTATTGCACAGACAAAACCCTCGGTTTCCCCGAAGAGATCACCAAAGCGTAGCCAGTGGAGGGAGGCTACTGTGTCTACGAAAGGCTCATGTAGAGCCTTGTAGAACCTCCCGTGGAGCTCCCTTTCCTTCCATACGGTCTCCCGGTCGGAAATGCTCTGCACTGCCGGGTCTTGCCATTGCTCTTGGCTAAGGATAGAGGGGTAAGTCCTTTATCACAAGAAATGACGTCCTTATAGAATGGATCATCCGATCTCGCAAGGAAGTAATCACGGAGGCTGCACACTTCGCGATTATGCATGTTGAGCGCGCTCAAGAAGCCACGACCACCATGCTTCCGCGGCAAGTACAGCCTCATTACCGACGATCTCGGATGATGCATCCTATGGGACGTCATGGTAGTGCGGACTTTTCTATCCAGGGCGTTAAGTTCAGTCTGAGTCCACCTGAGTATGCCAAAGGTATACATGAGGACAGGCATGACCCAACCGTTATATGCGTGTGCCTTATTCACACCGGACAAAAGGCTGTTAAGCACTTTGGTCAAGCGTGCATAAAACACGTCGCAAACTGACTGTTTCATACCAGCCTCATCGATACCGATGTTCTGTGATATACCCAGGTATCGGTATGTTTCAGCCTCGGAAAGGGTTCTTAAGTTGACGGGCATAGATAAGTCTATGCCCTCAGAGTTAGCAACCCTTCCCCTTTCAACATGGAGGACCGCACACTTATCCGTCCCCTGCTCCATTCTAATAGAATTGCTAAATTCACACGTGATGTTTAGCAATTCCATAAGATGGGAGCGACAGGAGGCGAATAATTTGAGGTCATCCATATAGAAAAAGTGGGTCATTTTTGTACCTCCTTTCCGAAGCTGAAATCCTCTCCCGGAGCCCTCCAGTAAAGTACTGAGAGGGTTCAAAGAGAGGCAGAACCAGATTGGACTCAGACAGTCGCCCTGGAATATACCCCTTCTTATCCTTATGCGGCTTTCCGCAGCCGTCATCCGCTCGCCTAGATGACAGAGGATCGTACTCCACTGCCCCATACACTGCTCGAGGAAGTCTCGAACTGTACAGTCAATCTTGTACAGCTCGAGGACCCTCTTTAGCCATGTATGGGGCACCGAGTCAAATGCCTTTCTGTAATCTATCCAGGCGGCGGAGAAGTTCCGACGGTTGCGTTTCACCACTTTGCCAATGACCGCGTCAATGAGGAGTGGTTCCTTGGTTCCACGACCGCCGCCCCGACATCCATTTTGAGCGCGCGACATCACCTGATTTAAGTCCAGGTGACGAGCGATTCTTGCGCTCAAAATGGATGTTAGTGTCTTGTATATGATCGGTAGACACGTGATGGGGCGGTATTTGCTCGGGTCTGTGGCACCCTGATCTTTAGGAACCAAATGAGTGATCCCAGTAGTGAAGAGGCTTGGGAGCGACTTCTGGTTGAGAGCCTCTTGAAACTGTCGGGCGAGCACAGAGTGACACACCATGAACCCCTTCAGCCAGTAGTGATGCAGCCCGTCAAGCCCCGGACTTTTCCAGTTCGGGGCCCTACGGACCGCCTCAGCTACGTCATCCGGCGTTATGATGACGGGGTCCATGGGCGTAATACTCGCACACTGACTCGCCACAACTTCCGTCCAAGGGCCCTCGTTGTGGTTTACGGGCTCTGACCACAGGCTGCGCCAGAATACGACCATGTCGGCCTGGTTTGGTGCATGGCCCGTTCCACTTACTATTGGTCGCTCCAATGATTTATAGAGCCTCTTCTGATCACTCTGGAAGAGACGATTCTGGTTGAACCGTGTCGACCTCTCGGTATATCGCCGAATCCGCTTTCCCCAAGCAGCTATTCTTTGCTTCAGGTCGTCTATGCGCTCCGTCAGTTTTTGCATTATATCCGGCTGGAACAAACTAACATTTGTCCCAGCAAACGCCATCCTGACGGTGCGCACAATCCTTGGCCTGGTATTGCCTGACCTGAAGCATATCAGTCTGCCGATGAGGGCCCTAGCCTTTGCGATACGTTCCTCAATTCTTATTCTCCATGCTGGGATAGCACTACTTTGTCCAGTAGCGCGTCCAGCCGTGGAAAGTTTGGCACCTATAATACGGCAGACTGCCAGTGCGGCGCCAAAAAGAATTGAGTCCGTCTCGCAAAGGTCCCGGCTGGCTTCCAAATAGGTAACCAGCATTGGGTTCAGAGCCCTCACGACAGCCCGATTCCGCTTGCTTAGGGCTAAGCGGGGAAGTCGCGGTCGATTTTCGAGAGTCGTACTGCGCGTTTCCACAATCGCCTCTTCCAATGTACTCCTCATTTGCTCTAGTTTCAGTTCCTGGGCGACTGTTCCATCATCGTTTGAATCAACCACAACTGGCGTATTCACGGCGGCATCCACATTTGCCGTTTGCTCAGCAAGTTGTGGCGCCGCATCCTCAGCCGCAGCATTTTCACCCGATGAAGGAACAGCCTCACGTCGTAGCCGTTCGAGTTCGGTGACATCAAATGTATTTGAGCGCAAGATATACCGAACTCGGTCTGCCAGGTTTTGCTCGGTGACGGTTACAGATGGCTCCAGCTCAGCAAAAAGTCGATGCATCCTTGCCCGATACGCCAAACATCCAGTTTCTCTCCATTTCGCCCTAAAATACGCCTGCAATGCGTTGCTGTTCATCTGGGTTCTCCAACGCATGCGGCGTACTCCACCAGTGGCGGGTGCCGATTGCTGAGCCCGCGAAGACCCTGCCGACACCAAGCCAGCTGGTGGGGATGATGGATGCGAGGAGCTGCTGGGTGGTCGTGCAGCACCTCGCGCTCGGCTGGCGGTTCGCATGCTGTCGCGTCCAGCGCCAGCTCCAGACGCGCCCTGGCGACCTCCAGGCAGCGGCCCTTTGCGCGTTCACATAACCGTTATATCAGCGGGCGATGGGGTCGTCACTTCCCTACGCCTTTTTATTATTATTTCTGTGGGGTATCTATATAGTTTTCTCATCTGGTTGGGTTCTATAAATATATAATTATAAATGAAAATGAAAAGATAAATATACATAAATATCATTAACATAAAATAAATATAAAAGTACATAAATAAGTAAAAGCCCAACCAGATGGAGGCCCTCGTCAGGGGAGACCAAACGGCCGAGGGTTAGGGGGGAAAGGGAAAGAAACCGGCGGACGATGCGGGCGGTATCGAGGAGCACCGCCTTCTGCATTTGAACCTGGAGCGGTCCGCCACGTAGTCCCAGCCGCCTCAGATGACCCGAGAGGCTGACTGGGATTAGCCCGTTTGCAGAGACGACTACAGGAATAATTTCGGTCGGCAGACCACCCCACATGTCGGTCACCTCGTGAGCCAGGTCCAGATATTTTTGAATGGTAATGTCGACCAAAAATATCCTTGACTGTGCCCGGTCCATCAGCACAATATCAGGCTTATTCGCAAGAATAGTCCTGTCTGTGATGATGGCCCGGTCCCAATAGAGCCTGGCGCGATCATTTTCGAGCACGGCTTCCGGCAAGTACTTGTAATACGGCAATTTCCGATCCACGAGACCGTATTTCAGAGCGAGCTCCTGGTGTAGAATTCTGGCTACTAGGTTGTGCCTGTGCAAGTACTCAGAGTTAGAAAGCGCCGAACAACCGGAGATAACATGCCTAAGTGACTCACCGGGATGGCGACAAGCTCGACAGATGTCGACGGTGCCATCCTTTAGGATGTATCTCCGATAGTTGTTGGTCTTAATAACCTGATCCTGTATTGCACAGACAAAACCCTCGGTTTCCCCCGAAGAGATCACCAAAGCGTAGCCAGTGGAGGGAGGCTACTGTGTCTACGAAAGGCTCATGTAGAGCCTTGTAGAACCTCCCGTGGAGCTCCCTTTCCTTCCATACGGTCTCCCGGTCGGAAATGCTCTGCACTGCCGGGTCTTGCCATTGCTCTTGGCTAAGGATAGAGGGGTAAGTCCTTTATCACAAGAAATGACGTCCTTATAGAATGGATCATCCGATCTCGCAAGGAAGTAATCACGGAGGCTGCACACTTCGCGATTATGCATGTTGAGCGCGCTCAAGAAGCCACGACCACCATGCTTCCGCGGCAAGTACAGCCTCATTACCGACGATCTCGGATGATGCATCCTATGGGACGTCATGGTAGTGCGGACTTTTCTATCCAGGGCGTTAAGTTCAGTCTGAGTCCACCTGAGTATGCCAAAGGTATACATGAGGACAGGCATGACCCAACCGTTATATGCGTGTGCCTTATTCACACCGGACAAAAGGCTGTTAAGCACTTTGGTCAAGCGTGCATAAAACACGTCGCAAACTGACTGTTTCATACCAGCCTCATCGATACCGATGTTCTGTGATATACCCAGGTATCGGTATGTTTCAGCCTCGGAAAGGGTTCTTAAGTTGACGGGCATAGATAAGTCTATGCCCTCAGAGTTAGCAACCCTTCCCCTTTCAACATGGAGGACCGCACACTTATCCGTCCCCTGCTCCATTCTAATAGAATTGCTAAATTCACACGTGATGTTTAGCAATTCCATAAGATGGGAGCGACAGGAGGCGAATAACTTGAGGTCATCCATATAGAAAAGGTGGGTCACTTTTGTCCCTCCTCTCCGTAGCTGAAATCCCCTCCCGGAGCCCTCCAGTAAGGTACTGAGAGGGTTCAGAGAGAGGCAGAACCAGATTGGACTCAGACAATCGCCCTGGAAGATACCCCTTCTTATCCTTATGTGGTTCTCCACAGCCATCATCCGCTCGCCCAGATGACAAAGTATCGTACTCCACTGCCCCATACACTGCCCAAGAAAGTCTCTAACTGTACAGTCTATCTTGTACAGCTCGAGGACTCTCTTTAGCCATGTATGGGGCACCGAGTCGAATGCCTTTCTGTAGTCTATCCAGGCGGCGGAGAAGTTCCGACGGTTACGTTTCACCACTTTGCCAATGACCGCGTCAATGAGGAGTGGTTCCTTGGTTCCACGACCACCGCCCCGACATCCATTTTGAGCGCGCGACATCACCTGATTTGAGTCCAGGTGACAAATGATTCTCGCGCTCAAAATGGATGTTAGTGTCTTGTATATGGTCGGTAGACACGTGATGGGGCGGTATTTGCTCGGGTCTGTGGTACCCTGGTCTTTAGGAACCAAATGAGTGATCCCAGTAGTGAAGAGGCTTGGGAGCGACTTCTGGTTGAGAGCCTCTTGAAACTGTCGGGCGAGCACAGAGTGACACACCATGAACCCCTTCAGCCAGTAGTGATGCAGCCCGTCAAGCCCCGGACTTTTCCAGTTCGGGGCCCTACGGACCGCCTCAGCTACGTCATCCGGCGTTATGATGACGGGGTCCATGGGCGTAATACCCGCACACTGACTCGCCACAACTTCCATCCAAGGGCCCTCGCTGTGGTTTACGGGCTCTGACCACAGGCCGCGCCAGAATGCTACAGTGTCGGCCTGATTCGGTGCTGGACCCGTTCCACTTACCATTGGTCGCTCCAATGATTCATAGAGCCTCTTCTGATCACTCTGGAAGAGACGATTCTGGTTGAACCGTGTCGACCTCTCGGTATATCGCCGAATCCGTTTTCCCCAAGCAGCGATTCTCTGCTTCAGATCATCTATGCGCTCCGTCAGTTTTTGCGTTATATCCGGCTGGGACAAACTGACATTTTTCCCAGCAAACGTCATCCTGACGGTGCGCGCAATTTTTGCCTGTTGTTGCCTGATCTGAAGCATATCAGTCTGCCGATGAGAGCTCTAGCCTTTGCGATACGTTCCTCAATTCTTCTTCTCCATGCTGGGATAGCGCTACTATGGCCAGTAGCGCGTCCAGCCGTGGAAACCTTGGCGCCTATGATACGGCAGACTGCCAGCGCGGCGCCAAAAAGAATTGAGTCCGTCTCGCAAAGGTCCCGGCTGGCTTCCAAATAGGTCACCAGCATTGGGTTCAGAGCCCTCACGACAGCCCGATTCCGCTTGCTTAGGGCTATGCGGGGAAGTCGCGGTCGATTTTCGAGAGGCGTACTGCGCGTTTCCACCATCGCCTCTTCCAATGTACTCCTCATATGCTCTAATTCCAGTTCCTGGGCGACTGTTCCATCATCGTTCGAATCAACCACAACTGGGGTATTCACGGCGGCATCCACGTTTGCGGGTTGCTCTACCATTTGTGGCGCCGCATCCTCAGCCGTAGCATTCTCATCCGACGAGGGAACAGCCTCACGTCGTAGCCGTTCGAGTTCGGCGACATCAAATATATTTGAGCGCAAGATATACCGAACTCGGTCTGCCAGGTTTTGCTCTGTGACGGTTAAAGATGGCTCCAGCTCAGCAAAAAGACGATGCATCCTAGCCCGATACGCCAAACATCCAGTTTCTCCCCCTTTCGCCCCAAAATACGCCCGCAATGCGTTGCTGTTCATCTGGGTTGTCCAACGCATGCGGCGTACTCCACCAGAGGTGCCGATTGCTGGGCCCGCGAAGACCCTGCCGACACCAAGCCAGCTGGTGGGGATGATGGATGCGAGGGGCTGCTGGGTGGTCGTGCAGCACCTCGCGCTCGGCTGGCGGTTCGCATGCTGCCGCGTCCAGCGCCAGCTCCAGACGCGCCCTGGCGACCTCCAGGCAGCGGCCCTTTGCGCGTTCTTCCGTATTCCATTATCCATAGTGGTGGGCGTCATTTAGCGGGAGACGCCTAGACCCGGCGCCGTTTCATGGTGAGGCCATGTGCACAAGCGGGCCTTTGCACCTTCAATTTTTGCCGAGGCACGGCACTAACACCTCTTGGCAAGGTGCTGACTGACTGCGCTGACGTAGCGGTTTTGTCACATAACCGTTACGTCAGCGGGTGATGGGGTCGTCACTTCCCTACGCCTTTTATTATTATTATTATTATTATTATTATTATTTCTACCGTGAAATAACAGTACGCGCACTCCTGTGTTTCAATCTGAAGGATGTAAATGATCACTACAAATACAGTCTTCTTTGTTAGGAGTTGGCTGCAGGTGTTCATGGATTACAGCAGCCACGTACCATCAGGTGGACTGTAAGTTCGCTTGTCATCCAATTTTACAAAATGTGTCATCACTACAATTAGTTACAGTATTCCTTCTCGATAAAAATAAGTAAAATGAAATGTATGTTACATAAATGTTTTATTTTACTCAAGTTCTTGTACAAACAAAACTACATCCCATAAAAGCTATCTATAAACAAAATTATATCATAATTAACGTACTTAACTGATAAAAACAGTGTTGTTCCTTTTGTGATTCAAATTGCTAACAGCCGAGAGAACCGTAGCAGTTAAAAAACAAAACAAATGGGAAACAAACATAAAATAACACTAAAGTGTTTAATTTCCCGAGATATAATATAAAACTTTAGAGAATTTCGTTCTGAAAGGGTAAATATTCGCCAAATTTTAATTAAGCGATTATCACAAACTATATAAATGAAACCCACGATATTGATAACTCAGTAAGCACTAAGCACTATATTGTATAAAACACAAGTTATTGTAAAGGATTTTAATAATTAAATAAAAGTGAAATTAAATCTTAATATTAAGCTTTTCTTCTAAAAATATGAAAAACTAGCACCTAAAATTATTATATCGGTTTGATGACGGCCTTAAAACCATCATCACAAAGATATCCGGTCAATAGCGTAATAGCTATTTTATTTCAGTTTTCGTTAGACCAAAAATGTTCAAACCTACAATACGTGGTAGAGCCATGATGCAGCTATAATATGGTTGTGGCAAAAATGGATCGGCTTGATCGAGGAAGGACCACGCTGTCACAGAATACCAGCGTAAAATAGCAGCTAATACTGCTGTGTTTCATATGGTGAGTGTAGAGATCCGGAGACCCTTTTTTACTGGATACGAGGCATTCTATTTTAATTCTTAGGGATGACAACGCATCTGCGTTTTGATTCTGAATCGAAGATAAATGTAGATGTCTATGGGCCACAGTATCCACTTATCATCAGGTGGACTGTGTGCTCGTTTGTCACCATTATTATATAAAAAAGCTATTACACGGAACAATATTTTTCATTGCACGTCTTATAATTGAAATAACTATCCTTACCATACTTTAACAACCTTTTAGTTCAGCCTGTATTGGCTTGACGGACACCCTAGATCCTACGTTTGTTGGTTGACAATATTAGCCCAACTTGCTGGGTTTCGGTGATCAGCAGTGGCAAGAAGCTCCCAGACCGATGGCTGTGAGTACAAGAATATCTTAACACTATGTGTCTATCAGAAAACACAACATCGCTTAGGAAGAAGCAGTCTGCGCTCACCTTTTTTATTTATACTACCGTCTATTATAAATCAATCCATACTTACCCTCAACTCATGAGAATTTTATTGTTGTTTATAACTGTCATCGCAAGGAGGGGGTCGCCCTGTTATATTAGTGTTTTGTGCCTGTTAGTGTCATTGCGTGTGTTGCTCGCTGCCGTATCGGAAATAATTTAAGTTGCGCTGCAAAATACTACAGTTTTATTCGAAATGAGTGGTAACGCTGATTCCCCGCAGCCTGTTCGGGATAAGGATGTGAACGTTACGGATACGATTGAGGACGAGCCGGACTCATCTTCGTCGAGTTCATCGTCTCCATCTCGGTCCGAAAGTGGAAGGCCTGTCTTCAAAAGAAGAAATTGAAAAGCAGACCCACGCTTGGAGGCCCTCATAAACCAGGTAGGATTTTTATCAAATATATATATGCAGAGTCTCGGCAACTCGCACAATAACCTACAAGATGTTAATGCCTATACATGTGATAACTTTATTACTATACCAAAAGAAAATCCCAAGCTTGATCTAGGTTCAATATCCATCAATATTGATGGAAGTAAAATAATAAAACCAGCCCTTCCGGAGAGGGTTGAAAAGATAAAGACATTGCAACATTTTGGCCTACCCGCATGGCAAAATGTAAGATATTCCAAGACTCTACAGTCTTTTGTAGCTACTCCGGGGTTTAATCAACTGAGGGTAAATTATGAATTATGCAATTTGAGCAAATCTAAAGATTATTTATCGGGTACTGAAAGTTTAATGGCAGCATTGTCAAATGCTGTTTTTGAAAGCAATGAGTTACTCCGAGCAGGTTTACAGTTAGTAGTGGATTGGACTGCGAAATCCCCAGAGGAATTAAATGCACCAGCACTTGTGCAAAAAAAAGCTCTGCTATTGGCAAAGGGACAGCCTTTGATAAAAATTCTGAAGATATCTTACAGGTTTTATGTGGTAAAAGAGCTGAATGCATTGAAACTAGAAGAGAAAGATTAATTAAATAAGTGCCTAACAAATCTATTCAGTTAGCCCTGAGAAATATTCCTCCATCCGAAAGTGTCTTATTCGACCAATCTAAATTAAATACCCTTATTCAAAATTTTGGTGGCCCTACATAGTGGATAAAGTCACTTACTTTTAAATAAATTAAGAACAGTCAGGGTTTGGCTTTTGAAAGGAAAGGATCGGATTCTTCTCTTTACCCTTCCACTAGTACGGCTCCTAAGAAAACAAAGTTAGAATTTCCCCAGAGAACTACTAGTTACCAAAATTATAATTCTCATTACCAAAACGGCACTTCCAGAGGCAAGGGAAAAGGTAAAGGCATAGGTAAAAAGTCGCCCTTTCGCTCCCTTGACAGAGATAAACAATGACTCAGAGCCGGAATTCAGGGGGAGGTCAAATAACCTCTCGTCAGTCCAAGTGGGCATTTTGGCCGGGACAGTTAAGAGGTTAGAGGACTTCAGAGACCAATGGGAGCAGCTCGGATCTACTCCTTTTATTATAAAAGCAATATCAGGGTATCGGATTCCTTTTATTCGGAGACCTGTACTGAGGTACCCCTCACCAACAGTAGCTCGGAGCTACGCAACAAAAGCTTCATCCCAGATGACTGTACAGATAAACGAACTGAAAGGTATTGGAGTTCTAGAAAAGCCTACTTCTTTGACTCCCGGTTTCTTCTCCCGCATGTTTCTTGTAAAAAAGAGCGATGGTGGCTTGAAACCAATTTTCGACCTTCGGAACTTGAACAAGTTTGTAGGAACAAAACATTTTCATCTTATAAGCCATACCAACGTACCAGAATTCCTTCAACCTGGAGATTGGATGGTAAAAGTCGATATTTCACAGGCATATTTCCACTTACCTATAGCAATGTCACACCGACCTTTCCTACGACTTTTTTACAATCAAGAAATGCTTCAAATTACTTCGCTCCCATTTGGCCTATCGTCGGCCCCCAGGCCCTTCTCTGTTGTAACTTGCTGAGTCGCGGAAACCCTACCCAAAAAAGGAATGTGGGTCCTAGTATACCTGGACGATTATCTTATAGTGCACCAAGACCCCTTCAAGTTAGCATCACAGACTACGGAAGTGATGAAGCTCCTGGAGTTCCTGGGCTGGCAAGTGAATCTCAAAAAAATCAATACTGACCCCAATAAGATCACTCGAATTTCTAGGCATAAAATGGAATACAGACAAAAATGTAATAAGTCTTCCTGCCAAAAAACAAACGTCAATCCTGACTACAATAACAAAAATATTAACAACAAAATCTTGCCACTTTCGGCAATTACAATGCCAACTGGGCCAACTAAATTTTGCATGTTATGTAATACTTCGCGGTCGACTTCACTGTCGCCGTTTACAAATGTTGTGTTATAAGACGATTCCCGAGGAATCGGGTAAAAACAAAAAAACCAGTTCCTCAGGGGGCAATACTGGATTTACAATGGTGGCAGCGAGCCCTATCATTGACAACGCCAATTCATACAAAAAGTGTGTCGCACTTTTTGACTACAGACGCCTCCAACATCGGATGGGGCGCTGTTCTGGACAAACAGACCATGTCAGGTTCATGGACACCTTACCAGCGGCCTTGGCAATGCAACAAAAAAGAGATGTTTGCCGTACTGTCTGTAATGAGACAGAACGTAAAGAAGGTCAGAGACTCTCATGTGCTCTTACAAACAGACAACAAAACTGTTAAGGCATACATTCGCAAAGAAGGAGGAAAGCATTACATAGGACTCCTATCTCTAATCTTTCAACTTCTGAAGATCATAGACTAGTGGAACATAACACTTTCAGCCCAATATCTACCCGGCAGATACAATGCGATAGCGGACAGACTGTCTCGGAGACGTCCTGTACCAGAATGGCATTTAAAACCTCAGGCCACATCAGAGGTAATAGGTACAAACATAAATCCCAGGATCAAATCAGGAATCAAAATACAGACCTACAAAAATGTTTACCAACTCCTTTATGGACAAGTGGAGTTGATTTCTATAGGAGAAAACTTTGAACACTAAATTACACTATTTATGATGGTTTTGACAGTTCAGAGGTGTTTAGGCGATGGGGCAACCCAGACATAGACCTCTTTGCATCAGAAAGATCCGCTATACTACCAAACTATGTAACAATAGATTCACGAGACTCTTCGGCAATGTTCATAGACGTCTTTTCAAGGGAGTTTAATTGTCAACTGAGATGGATATTCCTCCCACCAAACTTGATTCCGCGAGTGCTCTCACACCTCAACAAGTCAAGGGGTACCTTCCTGTTGGTAGCACCAGATTGGGAAAAACCGTTTTGGAGAGCGGATCTTCAGGCCCGAGCACTCGACAAGCCAATGACTGTGACCTCGTTACAGGAAGTGTTAGTGGACCTCACAATAGGGCTTCCACCTCCGCAAGTAGACCAATTAGCCCTGAAGGTTTCGAAAGTTGGGGGTGGGGAGATAAATTATTGTCGTGGTCCCAAGTGGAAAAAGATCTCCTGATGTTAAGCTGGCGTCAATCTACCGTGAATACCTATAAACCAGCACTAAAGCGATGGATAGCTTGGTGCGGAACTAAAGAAATCAATCCGAAGTGCCCGAAACCAGAAGAAGTGGCACAGTTCCTAGCATACAAACCTTGACTTTGATGTAGAAACCTAAAAATAAAGTAAAAGAATAATAAGCATATTTATATATGAAAAATTTAGCCTAATTATAATAACCTATATATGTTTCTACAAAATAAATGTGTATAATAATATATTCGTCCTATACTTAGGAACCCACAGAAATGTCCCATCTGAACATATTAATTTCGTAATCTATATTCCATGACATGAGAAGGCGTCTTAGGAATAATTTTTTTTACTATTAATCTATAATAATTTTTTTATTGATTATGTACCTTATTAACCGATGAAAAGTAATTACTTGGTTTTTACTGACATTTCTTGAATTATTTGTGCAATATCTAAGTACACACGACAGCATATTTTTATGAAAAGATTTTTTTTAAATCAACACAACACGTGACAACTCTTCAAGCGCCTAGCGAGTGACTGATTAAAGTGCGGTGTATGCACCGCAGTTGAGTGGAACAGAGTAGCTGAATGCAGTGTCGCCTCTAGTACGTAGTACATAATTGCTCAATGTTTAGAAACAGCTTGGAAGCGACCACCTCATTCCCAGGGGTTAATATCAACCATGTATTCATTTATATCATAATAACCCTTTTTATACAGTTTTTGTTTAACATGTTTAAACTTGGTAATAGAGAGACCTTGTAACACTTTTTTAAAAGAGGGTCTGGGATACAGTACAATTTTGGTACAAAAATCTGCTGTAGCAACATTCTGTGAAATGAAGGAGGACATATCCTCAAATTTTCTCGTAAAACACGTACTTAAAGCTATTCATAATTTCAAACCACCCAATTTTAAATCATCAGTGTGGGATGTAAAGCAAGTAATAGACTGGTTGAAGCAAAATCCAAAAGACAACTCACTATTCGAAATCTAAGAAGAACTGCAACTATCTTGCTTTTGACATCTGGTCGTAGACTACACGACTTGACGTTATTGAGGATTAAAGAACCGCATTTTACTGACAATGGGCAAGAGATCTGCTTATTGCCAGTATTTGGAGCTAAGACTGATAACGGGTCTAGGCGGCAGTCTGGTTGGAAGTTTCTTCCTAATGTGGACAGTAAATATGCCCAGTAAGATGGATAAGACTTCTAATTCAGGCAACTAAGGAAAGACGGTTCTGACAAAATAGATGGAAATTTGTTCATTTCTATCAGAGGTACTCCAAAACTTGCGTCCAGAACAATGATAGGTGGATGGGTTCGCTCTGTATTAAAGGATGCTGGTATAGATGCTACTCCTGGTTCTTGCCGATCTGCAGTAGCATCCTTAGCCTGGCTTGAAAACAGACCAATTGAAGAAATTTTAGAGAGAGGCAATTGGACAGCAGCTCAGACCCTAATGAATCATTATTGCCGAGAGATAAATGCACAGGAACGCGATAAGAAAAACTATATTTTAGACAATTTTAAGCCTATTTAAAACAAATACTACTTTCGTACGATTTCAGTTAATTGTAATTTATGATTAAAAATTCAGTACCCGGTTGACCGAGCTTTGCTCGGTATTTTTCGCTCGGTTTTTTTTAAATCGTGTGTTTTGGAAATTATATTTAGATACAAATTACATACTGATGAAATATGAATAATATTTTTTGATCTTAGCGACATAATAGAAAAAACTGAACTGGTTATTTGAATAAAAAATCATGAGTGCAATTAGTTTAATTTAAATTTTCGTGTTTTTGAAAAATACTAAACAAAGGGCTCGAAAAAATAGATTTTCTCAAAAAAGAAAGGAACTTGAAAAAAAAATAAAAAAAAGTTGGTCGGTCGGTCTGGGCTCGAACCGGGGTTTTACGATTCTGTGACCGCCCATTATACCAATTAAGCTATTTATAATCATTAACAATCTGTCAAAATTTACCTTCTTATTCTAACGATATTGTAGCAGTTTTTCATTGCCTAAAAACACGGACAAAAAGACATTTTCTAAAAATAAATCCTAGCTAGATCGATTTATTATCCCCGAAACTCCCTGGACACAAAATTTTATGAAAATCGTTGGAGCCGTTTCCGAGATCCCGATTATATATATATATATATATATATATATATATATATATATATATATATACACAAGAATTGCTCGTTTAATAGTATAGGATAATTGATTCTTGAGCAAAATTAAATAGGCACAATTTATGTTAAACAATTTAAATTTATTTAGTTCATGAAAACTTATTTTACCTTACATTTTTACATATTATTGCAATATAAAAGTAAAACTATTTATAATATTAAATTTGTCTTAATTACTTTTACCTAGTCTACAAGAATTATTTAAACAATAATTTCAACATTGCGTGTGTTATTATTATTTTCTAGTCACCAGCTGATATCAAA